CAAAAAGTTAAAAATGAGGTAAAAGATGTTTGGGAAAGGGAAAAGATCTTTTAAAACCAACTTTTCAGAAAGAAGGAAAATGAGCATTTGGAAAAGTCACGTATCCGTGACTTTTTGGAACTTTTGAAGCCTTGACACTTAAATTACTCATATACCCCTCAACTAACACTACCCTAATCAATAAGCCCTTGGAACTTTTAGTAATTTTACATGTAAAGTTAACCAAACACATTTTAAAAACAACTTTTGACTTTTGTTTCTCAAAAGCTAATCCAAACACATTTTTAAAAACATCTTTTGTAAAAAGTCCTTTTGCAAAAAGGACTATTGAAGGTAAAAAGATATCCCAGACACCCCCTTACTAGATAGTAATTTAAAGGGAATATTATTTTATAGAAACCATAAAATTTATATACTCTGTTAATGAATATGGTACTTATGAATAGTAAAAGTGGGTTTGTAAACAGTAAATGTGGTTTATGGTTTTAGGTTTCATAGAGACTTTCATTTAACTGGGTAGGATCCGTTGCACTGGGTTTGATCCGTTTCTCACTCAGTGGACTCTAGCCTCATCTCTTCTCAATTGGCACAATGGTTGCATGTCTCCCATATGTTTCTCTCCTTTTTGGTCCACATGTCTTCTCTGTTTGGAGTAACTTAGCTTGATTTGCTATGCATCAGATTAGAACTCAATTTGGACACTACAGTACTTGAGGAAGACCAAGAAGTTGAATCCTTCTTCCAATCAGATGAGCAACGCCTCATTCTTATTCAATTCAATAACGATAAGAAATGAAAATCATCGATGAATTATGTTCTCTCTCAAATCCTAAATCGGTTGGAAGATGTACCTTTTTTGTATTTTTTTTTGCTACAGTGAAAATGGTAACCATGCTGGAGTCGGTTCTGGTGAGGGTGGATTCAGGTTGTTTTGGGTTGTGTCTTTGGTGGTTGTGGTGGAGGTATTAGACTATTAGGTCCTGTTTGATAGTTTCTGTCTGGTAAAATGTTGTTTGGGAAAGTTTTCTGACTGGGAAAGAAACCATGTTGTTTGATTGTACATCTAATTGACTATACTGAATGATGAAAAAAGAGTAATAATTCAATAAAAAATAAAATTTTAAAAAGTTATTTAAAAAAAATTAATAATCCAAGAAAGAAAGAAAGAGGCGGGGTTTGGTGCATAATTGTCTTTCCAGCCCATTCAACCAAAAAGATATGATTTGGGGGCTTTCTGGGAAAGATATTTCTTACCAGGAAATACCCCCTTTTTTGTGCAAACCAAACAATCTATCCGTTTCATTCAGCCAGAAAGATCTGTTTGGACTTGGAAAGATGCGTATCAAACGGGACCTTAGTTACATTAAGCTCGATTATTTATCAATACTCCTTCATCTTCTTTTTCATTTCAGAAATCCAAGAATACGGATCCTTTGGAGACAAAATATATTGCTTATTACATTACTTTCTTAGAAACTATGTTTAGAGCTAGCAGTTTTATTGCATCCCTTCAAATTTCATCCATCAATCTTCAAATGTCGATTTAATTGCTTGTATTCTTTCTAATACATGACACATTGGTAAATGTATAGTAGCACTTTACTTCGTTATGCAACTAAATTGAGATTGTCTCACAGATCATGAGAATTTAAGGATGCAGAAGCCCTATAATTCTAAATTTCTCTAAATAAGTTGCTATGTATTTACTTTTGCTACACATGATATGAAGGGGTATTATGGGAATTAAACAAGAATAAGGAGCATCTTTGATAGTGGAAGGGTAATTTAGGCAATTTAGGTTTTATTGTTTTTTTAGCAGAATTTAGTGAGTAGTAGATGCATGTGGCTCAATGGCAATGTACAAACTTGAACCTAATTTCTATATGTTTATCTATTGATCAACACAAATTCAAGCAATCAAAGATGCGAATATTAAAGTTTGTGATCGATTTGACCCCTCTTAAAAGAATTAATGTGAATTATAAAAATATTAGGTTTTAACCCCTTAATTTTGTTTTTCAGTTTGTGTTCTCTATCGACTATCAACCACCATAAAAACCAACTTTTTTCCTTGTTTTTCTTACTGTTTCATAAAAGAAATAAGATACAAATTTGTTTTTTTTTCTATATTAAGGGAAATTTAACATGGAATATTTCAAAAAACTTGGGTTTTATTTTTTTGGAAGTAGTTGACGACTTCTTTTTGATTATGCAAGTAATTGGGGAAAATGGCATAGCAGGTTTCAAAGAGTTATGCACAAAGCTCTGGAAACAACAATGGGACATTTTCAAAGAAGCAGCTTTCGGATGTCCCTAAACCCAATCAATGTAACAAAAGTAGTATAAGAATAAATGACAACTATATAAACATAATACATATTAATATATATATATATATATGTGTGTGTGTGTATATATATATATATATATATATATATATATATATATATACCTTTTTAAAGTCCTCCACTCCTCATTTGTTAGGTTAAAAGTGTTTGTTTGAGGATTGTAAAGGCCAGTTTTGTTTTTCAAGTATAATCATCCCGTGTATTTGGCTTTAAGGTTGTCATAGACATTTTTCAATTATCTTTGACTCAAATCCACACCAAACTTTTCCTTAATGGCTGTTCCTAACTTGTTCCATGAATGTTTGTGCAAACTCAAAACTTTTCTACCCACATTTTGTACTTCTTCAATGCAAGTGTTCAATAAGAATTTTGTTTGCTCATTGGTCCATGTATGTTTATCTGCTATTGCTAATAAAAAAAACCAAATGGAATACATACTTTAGCACACATAACCTTATACCAACAACTTTCAGAATAATTACAACTTGTAATGATGAACATAATCAATTTCAACAAAGACTATTCATATTTCAGCAACAATTATGACACTTCAGCAACATTTTATGACATTTGAACAATATTTCATGATGTTTCAGCAACAATTTGTGACATTTCAGCAATAATTTGTGACAATTTAGCAACAATTTGTGATATTTCAGCAATAATTAGTGACAATTCAGCAATAATTCAGTAATATTTCATTACAATTAAGCAACAACATATGACATTTTAAGCACAAATTGAAGAAATTAGGGCAAGAACAAAGATTTAAGAACAACTATTTGATATAAGGCATGAACTATTTGATAAGATTAACACCAACAAGCAAAATCAAAGATTCAACAACAAAAATCAAACAATTAGTATGAAGCATGAACAATGAAGTAAAACACCAATGAAGTTGCACAACAAAAATCGTTCATTGATTATTTTAAATCTGGTTCAAGTTTGATTGTTTGAGATCCCATGTTGTGATAGAGATTCTATTGACAAGCTTTAAAGGTCATCGATTCAGGTTCAAGGACACAAACTAGAAGATCAGGTTCAAGACAATCGCTGCCTTCAGCAGCCAAAAACGAAAAAAAAAGAACAAGAAAACTAACCTAGAAGGAGGATCGACGGAAAGGGAGAGGCCGGTGGGGGTTGTGCCGGTGGGTGGTGGCTGCGCCGGTGATCACTGGTTTGAGAAGACGCGATGTCGAGAGAAGGTAGGAGAGCTCCTCACGATCGACTTGCTGGAAGAATGGAGGTGGCTGCCTTTTTATTTTAGGGTTTAGTTTTGAAGAGGTTAGAAGCAATTTTCAAGTGCTATCCCAAGCAGAGGACGGGAAGAGGTTTTTAATTTCGAAGGCTGCAAAAAAACAAAAAACTGTAGGAAAGAAAGTGTTGCGCGTGTGCTGCGCCGCGCAGCACGAAGAGGTTTGAAGAGGTTTTTAATAAAAAACAAACAAAACCTAAGTGTCCTCCGCTTATTGTTTTTTATCTTTGATGACAGTGGGTTATGATTGCTTATTGTTTCAATTGTTTACAACCTTCAAACACCTAAAGTCACTCTGTTTCAGAGGGTACGATTTGGTTGTAAATTGCTTATTTTTAAGATTTCAAAGGCATGTTGATTGTAGTCATTTGGTAATTGGTATAAATGGTGAAACTCGAGGATAGAGCCTACAAAGATTTTACTCCTTGTGGTTAGTTTAATGCATAAAAATGATTTCATAATCTCTTAAGCTTCCTTTATGTTGATATTGATTTATTTGTTATTTATAACATCCTAGGAAATTAGAATACAACTTTTGACTAATATAAATATGATATCCTAATAATAAAAAAATTGAAACTACAATATGATTGGGTGGATTTTTCAAAGTACGATGTCTTAATAATAAAGAAAATTCAAACTACAATGTCGTAATATAGAGAAATAAATAAATGAAACAGAACAACAGTTTCTCTATGTAATTAGGGCTGACAAAATTGTATCACGGAAAACCAACCAACATGTTCCCAACCGAACCAAGAAAGTTGGTAGCCAATATGTTTGGTAGCCAACATCCTTGGTCGGTAGTACCGTACCAATTAAGCAATCTTGGTACGGTAATGGTACAAAATTTTGAATATCATGGTAATACCGTACCAACCAATGCATTATATATATATATATATATATATATATATATATATATATATATATATATATATATATATATATAGACACACACACACACACACAAAATCATACGTATATTCCAATTAACAAGCGTGTTTAGGTTTTGCAGTTTTAAAAATATGATACAAGTCATTTGATCGCATTAATTAATAGTTATTATCACGTTAAAACACAAAATTAAAATGTTACTTTAGCTTTATTTTAATAGAATTTTTTTGTAAACAAAAAGATCTATGTAACTAATTTGTTTATTAAATTAATTTATTTACTAAATGTCGAAATTACCCGATTTCTTTGTTAGATCTTACAATAAAAAATTAAAAGTTGATATATATCATTATCAATTCGTACCAACCAAAATTATTGGTAGCCAAACATATTGGTACCAAATATACTTGGTACGGTTCCTTTAGAAAATTTTGTATACTAACTATAATTAGTAGGGATTTAAAAAAAAAAAAAAAAATTTGAAAAACAATTAACAAGCACCCAATAGGTATGAAAGAAATTACATTAAGAAACAGAAGTACCTGAATAATATACAGTCCTACGTATGAACATCAACTTATCCTCCCTAATCTTCAACCAAAAAACTTGTGACGATATAACATTCACTCGACCTGTTCGCCAATCAAATCAAGGCCAACAAGAAAAAACGCGATCCCTTGAAAAAGCAAGAAGTAAAAATGGATTCCCTGAGCCGCCAAGAGACTCCGAGCTGCCGCCGTCAAGAGAAGAAACGCCAGCATCAACTCCTTGGTATAAACCCTATTATGTTTCCTCTTTCTGTAAGCCTTCATCTCTTCCTCTTTCATCTTCTTCTGCAACTCCTCCAGATCCGGTTCGGAAATACCTCCTCTAGGGTTTACTTTCCAATCTTTCTCGATTAACGAAATCAGATCTCCCTCCGACGATCGGCCGGATTTCTTGGTGACGACCCATTCGTAAGCGCTTCCGAGTTGGAAAAGACCAGAAATCATCGCGTTGAATTTGGTTACAGACATCGTGTTTTCGAAGAGGAGGTAAGGGACGATGAAGGGGAAGGATTTGGGGGCGGGGAGGATGTTGAGAAAAGACATGGTGACGGGGACGTAACAGATGATTAACGATGGAAGGGTGGCTTCAGGTATGAACATCGTCATTGGGAGAACGATGCAGAACAGAGTGAAAGAGTAAAAGGGAAGAATCAGTTTTCTTAAGAGGAAGAAGAGAAATATTAGGTTTGTTTTCTTCCAAATGCTAATCTGCATAAACACCAGATTGAAATTCAATCATTCACCATTTTCATTTTCAAGGTTACACTAAAAAAAATAGATATATACTTGTGATTTTATGATATCTGGTAAGCAAAGCCTAAATAACTGCATAGGTCCGGAATGCCATCTATGCTGTTGCTTCCTGTATGCTTCATATGATTCGGGTAACTCACATTGACACTGAAAAAAATGAAAAGAAAAAAAACACAAAATTACCACGTAAATAAAGATATTGGTGATGAAACATAAAAGTTTGATAAATTGTTAAAAGAAAGAATATCATACCTCGACATCATTGAGAAATATCATTTTCCATCCATGAAGATGAGCTCTAACGGCGATGTCCATATCCTCAACGGTGGTCCTCTCCAACCACCCACCGGAATCCTCCAACGCCTTAATCCGCCACACACCCGCCGTCCCATTAAACCCAAAAAAGTTCAAGAAAAATCCATTTACTTGTTGCTCAACTTCAAAATGGAATGTTAAATTTATGTATTGTAACCTTGTTAGTAGATTCTCATCCTTGTTCACAAACGACCAACGAGCTTGTACCAATCCCAATTCCTCATTATCCTGAAAATTTTAATCAAAATATTCAAATAATTACAAGGTTAAAGCCAAGAAATAGTAGTTGATTTTCATTTTTTTGTATGTTATAGCATCTTAACTTCTTTCTCTTCCATCATTGTACTTTCGGTTTTTTTCTTATTAATGCATAGTATAATGAGTAATCTACCCAAATTATAGCATTGTATTTCCAATTTCTTTTTTCTAATTAAGATATTGTACTTCGAAAGTTATACCCCATTATAGCACCATACTTGCAATATTTTTCTTGTTAGGATATTATACTTTAAAAACTTTATCATTTTTTTTTTCATATTTAGATGACTATGGTTACATGTAATAAATAGCAATGCTTTCTTTTATTTGTTTATTATTGAACCCTACTTTTTTTTTTTTCTTATAACAACGTCGCACTTTAAAAAATTCTAGCCAATAATAGCAAAGCTATCCAAATAAAAAATCATTTTTACTGCTATAACTCTCAGTAGATTTTTCAAAGTACAGATTACTAATAAGAAAAATAAAATAAAAGTACCATGCTATAACTATAATAAGATAGATTTTGAAAATGAGAAGAAAAAAAAAAAACAAAAGTGCAGTGTTATAACTAGGTAGATTTTGAAAATACAGTGACTTAATTAAAAAAAAATGTTAAATGCCCTGAAAGAAAGATTTTAAAGTACAATGCTATAATAATAAAACAAAATGAAGTGAGTCCCTATTTCTTGCATTTAGCCCTAGATGACATTGCTATAATTGGGTTTAATTTTTCAAAGTACACTGCCATAATAGAAACAAATGGAAATATAATAATAAGAAAAGCAAAGCGATGAAAGTATGTTACTATTTCTTGCATTTAACCCATTACAAATACTTTAAAACACATGAACATAATCTATTACCTTAAAATGAGAAACGGTTCTTGTTAGAAAATCAGGGGAGGGTTGGAAATCGGCATCAAAGATGGCAACAAATTCATAATCTTTAGCATAACTACAATTCATAGCAGATTTAAGATTACCGGCTTTATATCCATCTCTAATCACTCTGTGCCTATAAACAATATTTGCACCATCTCTTTTCCATTTATGAACCTCATCTTTGATCAACAATTGGGCTGTTGGATCATCCGAATCATCCAAAACTTGAATTAAGATCTTGGATTTTGGCCAATTTAAATTACAAACAGCTCCAATTGATTGTTGATACACCTAAATATGTTCATCAATTTACAAAAGATCTAACGAAAGAAATAACGACACAGTTCCAATTGTTTGTGTATTGCATTGTAGCATCACATTTTCATTTCCTTTTTATTAGTGTTGTAGTTTACAACTAAGTTAGTTACACAAACAAAAGTAAACTTTAGCTTCTATCTTTTTTCTTTTCACAAGGAAATTTACCTCTTTTTCATTACACATGGGGATCTGGACAAGAACCATTGGGAAAAACCCATCACCCTCACCAGATTCAAGATCTGTTAGGGTTTGTTTAGCGACAGGTTTCATCTTCATGACCCGAATCAAGAAACAACCCAAACAGAGCACAAATCTGTCCAAACTCTGAACCAGAAACATATAGACACAAGAATTTGCCAAAATCTGTAGTGGTGGAGCTAGAAATTCGACACGTATCATAACCCATTTTGAATAAATCCAATCGAAAAAACCCTTAAATGCAAATGGATTTGTCGATGTATATAAATACTGTAAATGGAGATCTGGAGGTCCAAACTGCCACCCTTTATAATAAGCAGCTATCTCGAACGCTAGTAATAGAATAGATAACAAAAGACACGCCTTAATGCAAGTATAAAAACGTGTGGATGTTCTAACGGGGATTCCGGTGTCGGTTTCTGTATCTGTCCGGCCGGATGTTACACGCCGGCGAACGGCATAAGTAAGGGAGAATGTGGTGGAGGCGATAGAGGTGATGCAACCGGCGGCACGATGGGCTTTGAGGAGTAGCACCCATGTCAGCTGCCTGGCGTTTTTGTTGTGGGCACGTCTTTTGTTGGACGAAACGGCGTCGTTTAGGAAATCTTCCTCCGATGGAACTTTGAGCTCCACCATTGACCAGTTGTTTGGGTTTTCCATTTTCACCACCACCGGAGTCACCCGGTGGGCTTTTTTCATCAACCAATTCGGTGCCATTTTTGAAGAAAAAATTGTTGGTCTTTTAGATTTTAGGCCGCAGATGGCAACGGGCACATTGTTTGAAGATTTAGGTTTTAGGCCGTAGAATGGGTTTATTCTTCGTAATTTTCTGTTCTTTTTTTTTTTTTTTTTCCCTTTTTTTATTCGATTTACAGGATACCGCTACACCACTTTGCAATTGCTCACTCTAAATATAAACCTTGATCGACAATGGTGGTTGGGGTTACGAATATTACCGTTAGAAAGATGAAGAATCGGAAAATATGGGGCTTTCATTCCGAAAGAAACGGATTATGTGGATGCAACTCCATTGTCTTATTCTTTGGTTTTCTGGAAGGGAAGAATTTACCCACAACATTCGAAAACGGAATAGAAGAAGAACAAGAAAATTTTGGGTAAGATGGATGAAGATGAATATGAACGGAACGACGAAACACAAACCCACGCGCTTCCAAATCATCTGCCACGACTTTTTAATAAAGACAAATCTTTATAAATGGCCCATATAATTTTTTATAATATCAAATTTAGTTCGTAATTTTATTTTGGTAGCTATAAGGTCCTTTATGGTTTCAATTTGTTTTATTAGTCCTTGAAATTACTTTGTTATCTTTTTAATTTTATTTACCTTTTTCTTTGTTTATTTTGAATTTTAAAAATAAAAGAAAATTAAAACTCTCAACCCCACTCTTACCTCACTTTTTCTTTTTAGTTTATTTCTAGCTTACTGCTTCTCTTTTTCTCTCTAAAAACACACACACACTGACACACAACGCAACAAAAAGAAGAAACATATATCTCCCCCATCCTCAATCGTTAATCTTATAACCAAACCTGAGACTAAAGATCTACGAATCATTAAACACAAAACACCAATCCACCAAGATGTACCAGGATTTGAGTTTGAGCTACTGGCGGTCGTGCATGAAGCAATAAATCGTTTGGTACGTTGAGAGGTGCTTGACCTGTAGGATGGTCAAGGTCGAGCATCAGAGGCCACATGGCAAGCTGCAACCTCTAGAGATTCCCATGTAGAAATGAGAACAGATCGCGATAGACTTCATTACCAAGTTCCCGAGATAGAATGCTAGGAGAGATGCATTTGTATGCCTATTGTATGAGCTTGTAGACTTGCATGCTAGTACTGATGAGTCAGTGATAGGATGGCTAGATTAGGTTATGCTTGGTTATAATTACTTAATGCTCGAATGTTGCTTTCTTTGTGCTTTTTAGGAGTTCTCACTAGTTTCAGCTAACTAGTAAGTGAATATGTTTAGTGTGACACCTCTCATTCGATGAATTGTATGGTTTTGGTGATATGTAATTGTATTTGTGAGCTAGTTAGAGGAAGTTAGCAGAAGTTCCTTCTACAACTGATGCCGGAGAGTGGTGTGGAATTTGCCTAGGAAAACCTTGGAAGAAATTTAGTGTGAGGAGCCTTATCTTGATGAGGGTTAACTGTATGGATATAAAGTGACTTGGAGGATTCAAGGCAATTCTTAAGGAATGTACGGATAGATGTTGAAGGTAGTATGGGTGCATACTACTGGAAGTAGAGGATCCATACTTGAGTCAAGTAGAGCTACAATGAAACCAGGAAGCTCGTAGAGAGTGTGATTCCTCGATATATTTTGATGCATATTCTTATAGTTTATATGGTCTATTTTTAGTGTGGTGACTCTTTGAGGTAGATCCGTAGGTAGTTATGGTGCTGGTGAGGGATCGGGCTCAGGTTTTGGAGCTGGGCAATTGGATGATCAGACAAGGGAGTTCATCTCATCTGAGATTAAGCGTTACATTCTCGAGCGGTCACTTGTGATCTTCGTTATGATCAAGGAGGGTAGTATGGAGATGTTGGAGGAGCGTTTGGTCTCTTTCCATTCTGAGATGGTGGCCTTGATTGGGGCACATTCGTTGACCTTCAGGGAGTTCTGGGCATGTGGAGCTCCAAACTATCACAGGACGAAGGACCCGATAGTGAGCATGAGGTGATTAGCGGATGTTGCTAACGCCTTCCGCATCGGCAGTTGTCCCAAGGGGAAAAGGTCAGACTTTCTTCCTATCTTCTGAAAGACAGAGCCTGAGACTTGTAAGAGGAGGTTGGGCGTGCAGTTGGTGATGATGATGTTGATTTGATGACATGTGATGATTTTACGACTAAATTCAGGGCTAAGTTTGGACCAGAGATCGAGGTGTAGCAGTTGGTGTAAGAAAGCAGTTGACTTAAGAGTTTCTGGATCTCTACCAGACTACTGAGATGGTGGCTGAGATCACTACGAAGTTTTGTGAGAGGGTATTATTGGTTCCTTAATATGTGGTAGATAAGGAGATGAAGAAGGTGAGGTACCATGAGATGCTGGGGAGTGATATTCAGCAGTTTGTGAATCGATCCAGTTGCAAGACGTTGGCGGATATGATAGCGAGGACTAGGGGGAGAGAGATTTATCTGGAGATTGAGAAGAAGAGGAAGCCAGATTATATGCAGAGTGTAAAGGCTTTAGGAAAGAGGCCGAAGGTTGTTGGTATAAGAGAGAAGGGCCAACGGAGCTAGGGCTGCTATGGCAAGTGCGATAGGACGCACGATAGGGCATGTAGGGTGGGTGGTTCCGGCTGCTTCAAGTGCGACGGACAAGTCATATCAGCAGAGATTATACTGCTACTACCATCACCACCCCGTTATCTAATCTGATTTGTTTTCATTGCAACCATAGGGGCCACAAGAAGGCCCATTGTCTGAGTTTGACTATAACAGGACCAATGTCAGCACCCACTCCTGCAACTCTACGGATTACTGACAGCCACCAAGGCAAGGCAGATGAACCTATGGCGAAGAGCAGGGCTTTTCAGCTGACAACTGAGGAGGCTCGTGCAGCTCCTGATGTGGTGACGGCTATGTATATTCTCCTTATCTCTTTATTTATATTGAATTATCTGCTTAAATTTATGTGTTTTATTTTAGGATCGTTCCTCGTGAACGGTATTTCTGCATTGGTATTGTTCGATTTAGGGGCTACCCAATCCTTTGTGTTGCTTGAGCTTAGCAAGAGGTTTTTTGGAGATTTGGAGGAGATGGATTGTCCTTTAGATTTTGAGATTACAAATGATCGATCTATCCGGGTAGCGAGGGTTCATAGGGGTTGTATTCTCCAGTTGTTCAGTGAGCAGTATCTGGTCGATTTGGTTCCAATTCCTTTGCGTGGGAACAAGGTTATCGTGGGCATTGATTGGTTGAGCCCTAACAGGGTAGTGATCATTTGTGAGCAGTAGTTAGTTCAGATTTGAACCCTAAGTGGGGGAGATTTAGTGGTTCATGGAGAGAGAGCACAGTGTGGGCCGATTTTGTGTTCATCAGTGAGGGCTAGATGCTATATTCAGTAGGGTTGTTCCGGATTTGTCGCCTATGTTATGGATACCCGTGGTAAGGGTAAGGGGACTATGGATGATGTGCCTATTTTGTGGGAGTATCCAGATATGTTTCCAGAGGATTTTTACTGGGGTGCCTCCGAAGAGGTAGGTTGAGTTCAGGATTGATTTGGTTCCAGGTGCGGCTTCGATAGACAAAGCATCGTAACGGTTGGCTCCTCCTGAGATGAAGGAGTTTTCTACACAACTGCAGAAGCTGTTAGTCAACGGATTAATTTGACCGAGCAGTTCGTCATGGGGAGAACCGATCTTATTTGTGAAGAAGAAGGATGGGTCGCATCATATGTGCATTGACTACTGAGAGCTGAATAAGGTAACGGTGAAGAACTGTTATCGACTCCCGAGATTGATGATCTATTTGAACAACTTCAAGGTGCATCTAGGTTTTCCAAGATTGATTTAAGTTCGGGTTATCATCAAATGAAGGTTAGAGATGAAGATGTGCAGAAGACAACTTTTCGGACTCGTTATGGTCATTACGAGTTCGTGGTGATGCCTTTTGGGCTCACCAATGCTCCAGCCTCATTCATGGATCTCATGAACCGCATATGCAGGCTGATGCTGGATCGGTCTATGATTGTATTCATTGATGATATCTTGGTCTATTCTAAGACCCAGGAGCAGCACGGTGAGTACTTGAGGGAGGTGTTGGAGACTTTGAGGAGGGAGATAATTTTCGCAAAAGTTCTCCAAGTGTGAGTTCTAGTTGTGCGAGGTGTGGTTTATGTATAACGACCATAAATTTCAATAAATTTTAAACTTTTCAAAACATCTCAATTTCTTTAAGTTTTTAGAAAAAGGTTTTCAATACATTTATTATCAGAGTATTCCCAGAACCCTAACATAAAACATAAACACGAGGAGCGGTACGATCACGCCTTTGCCTTGCCACGGTCTCCTGAAGAACCTGAAAAACATTAAACCACAACTGTAAGCCCGAAAGCTTAGTGAGATACCCCCAAAATACCAACCACATATACCATACACACATAACGTGCTATATCATAACAAATCACAGAACAACCATGCATTTCAGGTCTACTGTGTGACTGGTCCGCCGTATCGGCCCTTTAGTCCACCTGATCCACCCTCCGAGTCCAGTCATGTCCCTTGAGTCTGCAGTATGGTCGGTCCGCCCGCACCGGGCCTTCAACCCACCTGTTCCACTCTTTGAGTCTACAGGTATGACTGGTTCGCCCGCATCGGGCCTTCAGTCGGCTGGTCCACTCTCCGAGCCTCGGTACGTCTGGTCCGCCCTCATGGGGCCTACAGCCTATTCGGACGGCTCGCTGGGCCTTCGGAATAACCGATCCGCCCTGGGTATGTTAGCCTACAGCACAAAGCAGGACCCGCCTCAACCCAACCCTAGTCAAACAACCATATGCACATAAACATAAAATCATATAACAATTCACATCCAATCAAACCGATCTAGAAGATCACGTATTATAACATACTCTAAATAGGATACCGACCTAACAGGTCACTAGCATATACCATCCTAATACCCGGATGCAAACATAGCAAGACAACAACCTAGCAACAATACCCATATTACAATTCGTTAAAGGGTC